AGAAAACACCCCCAGAGACACACTTCCTCCAACAAGGCCACACCTACCTCAACAAGGCCACACTTCCTAATAGTGCTACTCCCTATGAACTTATAGGCAGCTTTCATTTAAACCACCACAGTGGCCTAAATGGGCGCTACAGGCTAGACCTTGTGTCCTCCCTACTTTCTGGACACTAATGTCAGCTGAGTTCTTTGAAGTATGCTGATGTTGGGGTCCCAACCCCAGCAGTTCTTGGCAGATTTGTTGGCATGGGGTCTGAGGATTGGCTAATTGTGACAATAGGTCCAGTGAAGGTAGTTGTGATGCCACTGCTTGGTTCATTTTCCTTTGTGCATTTTAATAGGCTTATTGACAGGTTTATCTCTGGACTAACTACTGCCCTTGGTGATGCAGACAGAATTGCTATCAATGTGCAAGAAACAACACTTAACAGGAAGCCACAGGACACTTTTGGGAGAAGATGATGCCCAGCACAGAGCACAAAGCAGTGTAGATAGCTTTAAACAGGACGGTGACCTCAGAGGTCTCTGTGGAGCTTCCCGATGGCCCAGGCTGGGTCATCTTCTTCCCCCGCAGCTCTCTGTGCATGGCTGCTGTCTCTCATGAGGGCTGTTGGTCTCTGGTTGGCAAATTTCCAGAGAGCTCCAGAGTTTAAGATGAAATGGCTTGTCTATCCCAATTGAACAAGTGGCAGTTAATGGTTCATAGCAATACCGGGGACACATCTTGATACACAGTAGGGGTGGTTCTTTCGTGGTGCTCAGAACACCATGTGGTAGCATTTCCTTGTCATGGTGTAAGCGACTGAGGTCATTGGCTTCCAAATCTTCTCAACCCCAAAACTATGGCTAGCTAATACAGTGATCTCTGGACTTCAGTCCACACCAAGCTCATGCTCTGAGGGGGACCCTAATGCGTTGGAACCTGCTGAGAGCTCAGTGGTTGATATCAGGGCACCAGCGGGTAGATGCACACACCTCATCTGTGTGTTTAGTGACCACAGACATATAGAGGGGCTTCCTCTATGCCTTTCTTGGGTGAGTGCCCAGGCTTGCTTGTGCATGTGCACATGTGTGTACATCTGAGACATAGAGCTCTTACACAGGCAAGCTGGCCATGTACAACACAATTCCCCATGTGTCCTGTGCATATGTGCTCATGTGAATCCCAGCATGGAGTCATTTGAAAGGATAATTAGCACCAGGCACCTTCCCGGGGTCCTCAGAGGGCTGGTGTCCATCCTGTTTGTCACTGTTTCTCTCCTAATCCTTTCTAATGAGGGTTTGTGTTAACATGGATAAGCCCTTGTGGAGTGACTACTGGCTAGCTGAGCCCACGGAGGACACACCAGCCCAGTGTCAGTGCCCTTGGCTATGAGTCTGGGAGCTGGCAGATGGGCAGACTCCTTTCAGTCTCCACAATGGCTGCCATCTGGGGACACCCCTCCCCCAACTCTGTGACTCTATCTCAAGTTCTGGTCTTTCAAGGGTGTGTTTCTTGTTTGATTTCAATAGTTAGGAGATAGCTGGTGACATTCTGATTTGGAGGATGACCTGGAAGCAGATGCTTCTGGATAGAGTGATGCCACCCACTCTGTGGTGAGCCCTTATGACTGCCCAGATAAGTGTAGTGGACCTCCACTGCCCGCAGAACTGAAAAGTCTCTTTAGGGCCCAAGGCGGCACTATCTGGAATTGCTGGCAGATTTGGGCTCTGGAAGTTCTGGATTGGTGCTGGGTCCTGCCCACCCTCCCCTGTAGATCTTACTGACTGTTTCTACCAGGGTGTCACACACGGTGGCCAGGTGGCATGCTTCCTGTGAGCTATCACTCCCTAGAAATTAATGTAATTTGAGACCACGATGGAAAAAGAAAAACTAGAAACCAGCCATTATGATGTAATATAAAGCAACATGGAACCACCATACAACACACTTAAGTTCCTCTCTTCAGTTGGATCTCTATCTGCAACCAGAGCACCATTACTTCTTCTCATACCCAAGATGGACATTTTCGAAAAGCTCACCACAAATTCCTAATTCATCAAACTGGGATGCCATGATGTCACTAGTGTGGCCAAATGCCACCACTGCCCTGTCTCGTTGTAGGCTCTGTGACAACATCCTTGGACTTGGGGCTGGGAGGATCTAGAATCTTAGCTCTCACTCTATCCTAAGCCACTTCCAGCAAGGAAACATGTCAAGACTGTGCTCAAGAGGAACCGTAGAGCAGGTGGGTGGTACGTACTATCTCTGGGTTCCAGTTAGCTAAGGGAGTCCCTTGGACACCACAGAGGGTTAGTTCTTACTAATCTCAGCAGCCACCCAGTCCCAAACTGGGCAGTGTTTCAAAGGGGAGGCAGCATTCTGTGTAGGTTCTAGCCCAGCCTCGCCATCCCTATGTCTGAGGGATCTGAGGTTAGCTCAGCATGGAGCCTGGAGGCTGGGGTGTATCCCAGTTTGAAAAGCATCAATGTTTGAAGGTCTTGTACTAAAATAGAAAATCCTCCGGCACCAAGGAAGAACTTATGGATGAAAAAGGCTCTGTGAAGAGGAGGGTGACCTGGAGGTTAGATGTCTGCAACATGACCCCATTTGACAGCTTGCTAGTGGCTCCTCTGTGAGGTGGGGTTTCTTATTTGATAACCATCTGATCTCAGATGCCAGCCCAGAGCTGGTTCTATATGAGGGCTGTGCCCTTAGGCCTAAGAGCCCACCTTGCTCCTGAGATCTGATATGAGAGCTCCTGACAACTCAGTTCCTTGCCTAGGTCTGGTGACTACCTCCTCCCTCCTTCATGAGGTAACAGGATGCTTCTTGCTCTGGTTGGCAGAGCCTGAAGTCTTAGTGCTTCAGAATTGTGTGGAGTTATAGCAGGGACATTGCCATTTAAGTACGTGCTGTGGACTCAATCTCTTAGAAAAGTGAGTACCTGAGACTGGGAGAAGACCAGCTCAAGCCTTCTTCCTGGAAGGTCAAAGGTGTGGGAGGGAGCCTTGCCTGGCTTCAGGATGCTGTCTCTATACATGGCCTGTACACCCACAGGTGACTTCCATGAGCAGATCTAAAGAAAAGTAAACTCGTTTCCAGACCAGGGATGTTTTTATGCTTTGCTTGGTTCTGCTCATGTTTTGTGGGGTGTTGACAATGCACTAATTTCTCACAATGGGTTCAAGAATCCTGTCTTATTCATGCTAATGAATCACGTATCTCACTCAGTTGGAATGACACCCTGTGGTCTGGGGTGTATACCTGGAGTTGGGAGACCAGCCCTGGGCTCCAGATCTACTGAGAGAGCTAGGTGGTCACTACTCCAAATGATTCCGTGTAAGGACTGGCCCTCCCTTGCTCATTCATGGGAAATGGACTGGGGTGCAGGGGCTGCTTGCTTATTCATTTACTTCTCTTATTGCTGTGGCCAAATATCTGCCAACGAGCAACTTGAGGAAGGGAAGTAGGGTTTAGTTCGGGTGTCAGTCCAGTGGTTAGAGCCTGTCTTGTGAGGAAGGCGCTGTGGTAGAAGCAGCTCTTGGCTGTGGAGGCAGGAGTGTGAGGCTGTCTGACCTCCATGGGTATGTGAACTTCTTCACCAAGAAGCAGCGTTGGGACAGAAGATCAGATGGGTTATAAAACACAGGGCCGGTGGCCCAGAGACCCTCTTCCTCCTGCCAAGCTTTACCTCCTGAGAGTTCTACCACCTTGCAAAGAGCAACACCAGGGGGCCAAGTGCTCAAACTCCCGAGCCCGTGGGGGACACCACGTTGAGATCACAACACACTGGGGGCACCTTTGTCCCCAACCGTCTTCTGTCTTTGCTTATTTATGGTTCCTATTATGACACACGATTTTTCAATAGGCTGCAGAATTGAAGAGGTGCCTATTAAGAAACACAGAGTGTGACAACAGAATTTATCTCCTCCGTCTCCTCACCCTCACTTGATCTGGCCAGCAGATATAGAAAAGGCTGCCCCAAACATGGTGTGAGGAATACAAGCTGTCCCCCACAGGCTGCTGACGTCACTCCAGCAGCCTGTCCCTGTGGCTCCAGCAGCGGTCTTGCCCCTTCTCCCAGCTTTCTAAGCCTTGTTTGAACTCCAGTGACTTATAAAACTAACAAAGCCAGCAGGGAGGGCTTAACAGGGAGAAACAGAACTATCTGCGAATGCTGGTATACAAGTCACCCCTGAGCAAGGGCTTCCTTCCTGAAGGCTGTGTTCCCATTGCACAGCCGGATCCGTCTTCCACCGTCCTTGAGAGACATCTTTTCTTAAGGCCATTTCACCACAGCTCAGCCTGGAAAAGTCCCTGACCCCCCTCACATGGGAGGAACACATTTAAGAATGTGTGTTCTTTAAAAAAAAATTCATTTATCATTTTGTACCTGTGTGTGTGCATTGTTTTGGGTGTGTATATGTGTGTATGTGAGTGTGTCATGTACATATATGATGTATATGTGTATGGTGTGTTCATACACGTGTATATGTGTGGTGTGTGCACCTGTGGTATGTGTGTGTACATGGTGTGTGTGTGTGTGTGTGTGTGAGAGCATGTGTGTGCTTGTGGTGTATGTGTATGCAGAGTCCAGAGGAGGACACTGGATGCTCTCCTTTGTTGCTGCACACGTTATTCCCTTTAGACAGCGTCTCTGACTGGCCTGGAGCTTACTGTGTTTTGGTTAGGCTGGTGAGCAGCCAGTCCCAGCCATCCTTCTGTTCCAGCAACCCCCAGTGCTGGGACTCTAGGTGAAAGGCCAGGGCCAACTTTATCTTACATGTATTCAGGGGTCTGAACTCAAATCTTCACGGCATCCCAGCCCTCCTCGCCCTGAGCCACCTCCCCAGTCCCAATGTCTGCCACTTCAGCCCCCAGTCCAGGCACTTCCTGAGAGTGGCCTTAGCAAATGAAGGCCAGCTATGGAAACAGGTGGGATGTCACAAACTGTCTGCCTTGGGCCAGTTGTGGAGAACACTGGAGCATCACACAGCACAGAGTGACCCAGAGTCAAGACTGGCAACAAGCAGATAAGGAAGTAAATTATTTACTAGTTTGGAAACAGACTTTGATAACCAAACAGAATAATATAAAAACGCACCTACCACGTGACAAGCCTATGAAAGTGAAATGACAGTCGAGACTGTATCTACACACATAATTATGTTTATTTGTGTCTCGAGCTTGTTCCCTACAGAACACCAGGTACTCTACTCTAAAACCCAAGTTATAAAGTTTTGACAAATGTTTCATAGACTCTCTGTTCTTTAAAGGGCATGAAATGAAAGAGTGCCATCAGACAAAGGAGTGGGAGGATCCCAGCCGAATTTGAAATTCAGACAACAGTGAGTACAGCATAATTGTGTCCTGTGTAATCCTTGGGTTCACCTTATACTCTGCTCACACTCATTGCTTGTCTAAAGTGCAAATATGTCTAAATCTTGTGGGGCTTATCTAGCACCTCCCTTGGGGCTTCCAGAGGGAGTGATACACAATCAGTTCATGATATGCTCTAAGAGAATTTTAAGAACAAGATGGCTCTTCTCCAGCCTTCTCCATGGTGGGGTTCTTTGGTTCACACACCCCTTGGTGGAGACTAGGCTCATTTGTCCAAACCTCCATGTTGACACAGTTGGAGCTGTGCAAGCGGCCTGCTCCCAGGGAGGATAAATCACCTCCCAGCCCCACTCAGGCCAAAGATTTCTGCTGAGATTGCATCTGAAGGTCAGATTTATGACCCTTGTGACCAACTCTCACAGCTTTGTCTTCATCGGGGGATAACCAGACTCCTTTGTGGACCCTGAAGTCATCAGGGAGGAAGCTATGCCAGCAAAGCAGTGGACCATGTGGATTGAGATTCCATGTGCATTTGTGGAATATCTTTGTGGTCAGTGTCTAAAAAGAAACGCACAGTCAACCAGGCTCTTTAAATATAAAATAACACAACTCTGCTAAGCATGCATACTGACGGCTCCCGAAGCTCTGGATGTCAAGACACTCGCAGCCACAGCTGCATAGACCTGGGTCAGGAAGGCTTTCAGGCACAGTAAGGCATAGCACAGACCAGAACACCATGGATGCTGGAGTGAGCATGAGTTACAGCTCATTCAGACTCATTGATGAAATAACCAATGCCATCCATCCAGTTCCTCTGTCAGGAATCCATCCATCCAGTTCCTCTGTCAGCAATCCAAAAGAGGGGGCTCTTCACAGAGGAAGATTCTGAGACATTTGCACCTTCCCAAGATTCACTCTTACAGCAGCAGAACACACACACACACACACACACACACACACACACACACACACACACACACACACAAACAAAAAACAAGATAAAAGTCTCCTGCCAACAAAGCCTGCCGTTGGGTTCTACCAAACACCTAAGGAGGAATTTGCACTTATTTTCCCCAAATCAATCCAGAAAAGTGAAGACAGAAGACTTCTTCCCACACATTCTGTAAGGACAGCTGTACCCTGACACGCAATCCAGAAAAGAATGCATCAAAAATTAGAAGACCAATATCTTGATGAACACAGAGGTTGTCCTAGTTAGCTTTAACAGTCAATTTGATACAGCCTGGAATCACTTGGGAAGGGAGTCTCAAGGGATCCAGTTCAGACAGGTTGGTGAGCACATGGGTGAGGGATTGTCTTGATTGTTAATTAAGTAGGAGGACATAGTCGTACAATGTGGTGGTGCCATGCCCTGGGCAGGAAGTCCTGGCTGTATAAGAAAGCTGGGGAAGCATGAACCAGTGACTGAGCCAGCAACATTCTTTCCTGGTTTCTGCCTCAACTTCCTGTACTGAGTTCCTTCAGTGATGGGCTATGATCTGTAAGCCAAATGACCCTTTTTCTCCCAAGCTATTTTTGGTCACACTTTTTTTTTAACCACAGCAAAGGAAACTGGGATTGGGTTAGAAATACTCAACAAGAAACTAGCAAAGCTAATTCCTAACCTAATGGCTGTTCCAAAGAGTCCTCACCATAATCAATTGTGAATCATCCAGGAATCCAAGGATTTTCCAACAGGTCTGGCATGGTAGCACATGCCTAGAGTCACAACACTTGCAAGGAGAGATGTAGTGTGTGAAGACGCTCTGGGCTGTAATGAAACCCTATCTAAAGAAACAAAGCAAAACAACAACAACAACAAAAAAAAAACCGGTAGCCTGACAAACAAAACTATATATACATATATATGTATATGTATATGTATATGTACATATATATGTGTATATGTATGTGTGTGTGTGTGTGTATGACCTACCAAGTGACCAATAACAAAAAAAGATAAAAATACACTGGGACCTGTCCCTTCTGATCAGAGATCTGAACTGTGAGATCTGCAACTACCTACATATTTGTCCCAGGACTTTGGCTGGATCAGACCTAAATTACAGGATCTCATTCAAGACTGGGCTTCAGAAGAGGGAGATCAGAGCTTTATACAATCCTTGGAACTCTGGCATGTCAGCCCAGGCAGAATAAGCAGGGGTCCTTGCAAAAGCAGATTATCATCATCCAAAGGAAGGAGGGGAGAGTTGGGAGCCATGGAAATGGCCTCAGGAGCTCAGAGCAGTTCTTATCCCACCTAAAGGAGAGATAGAGGGAGGGAGAGAGGGATGGAGGGGTGGAGGGAGGGATGGAGGAAGGGATGGAGGAAGGGATGGAGAGAGGGATGGAGGGGGGAGGGAGGGGAGAGAGTAGAGAGAGGGATGGAGGGAGGAGTGGAGGGAGAGATAGGGAGAGGGATGGAGGGGGAGGGTAGAGGGTAGAGAGAGGGATGGAGGGAGAGGGATGGAGGGAGGGATGGAGGGAGGAATGAAGGGAGGGATGAAGGGAGGGATGGAAGTCTGTCTCTACTGGACTGAGGCAGATGGTGCGTGAGAGGGTTATCTGGTGGCAACTGAGGCAGGTGGAGTGTGGGAGGGTCAGCTTGTGGAAACTGAGGCAGGTTGAGTGTGGGAGGGTCAGCTTGTGGAAACTGAGGTAGGTGGAGTGTGGGAGGGTCAGCTTGTGGAAACTGAGGCAGGTGGAGTATGGCAGAGTCAGCTTGTGGAAACTGAGGTAGGTGGGTGCAGACAGTTCAGGCTATAGAGATCGAGGTACTGGGCACAGGTGGGAACATTGAAGAGTGAGGAGAAAGCTCTGTGGGTGCCCTTGTCCCCCCTCTTTAACATATTGAAAGCAAACATCTCTGATTAAAGAAAACATACAGAATAGACAAATATAAAATAGAGAGCATTGTTCTGGGACCCGAAAATGAGAAGAGGAGAAAGGAGGGAATGGGAAAGAGATGAGGAAAGAGAAGAGTTGAAAGCGATGGGAGGGAAGGGGGGGAGAACTGAGTGGGAGGGGTTTTACCAAACAGAGGAGCCAAGGACCTGGGTGCAGGAACGGTCTCTGCAGAGGAAGTCTGATTGAAAGTCCTCAGGTATTCAGACCCACTGGTTCTGGCTTAAGTTTGACGTTATTTTTTTTCCCACAGCAGTGGCACATTGGCGGACGTCTCAGGGGGCAGGCGATCCAGAGTGCTCTGTAGACTGAGTAGAGGGGTGAAGTCTTACAGGAAATGCCTCTCCTTCCCCTTTGCCAAGCCCCTTCACATTAATGAGAGCAGGCAAAGGACCGTCCATCAACAGAAAGACAGATGCTCCTCTGCGGGGCAAGAGGCCTTGCTGGTGCCATGGGTAGCTTGGGGACAGCCCGCTGCATAGGCGATGAGCCTTCTCTCAGGGAGCCAGGCGGCTGCCCTTCCCACTGCACTCTAGTCCCTGTCGGAAGATGAACTGAGACGTGTTTGTCTTCAGCTTTACTAGCTGCCCTGGTGGCACAGGCTGGGGCCACATCCTGATAACTCATAATTTCCATACCTTAAATAATTTAATGTGAACTCACATAAATAAAATGCTGCAACTGAGCATAATTCTTCATACATTTTCCTAATAATCCTAGCCTTTTAAATTAGCATAATAACACTTAGAATAATTGAGGAATTTAATTGCATGGAGCCCTGGAATATTATCACTGTGCTGGGTACCCCAATGAAGCTCTGATTAGCTTAATATAGCTGGTTTTCCCATTTAGTTTTCTTATTAGATGAGGCTGCAGAGGGTACACACACACACACACACACACACACACACACACACACACACACACGCATAAGCACACGCACATGCACACGCACAGGCACAGGCACATGTACACACAGACACACACATACATGAACACAGACATACACGATAGACATACACACACAGACACTCACACACATGCACACAGACACACAGACACACACACACACACACACACACACACACACACACACACACAGCCCATAGGATGCATAGGCCTCCATGAGCATCCACACTTCGCAGGAACCTCTAGGCACACTCTTCTTGATTAAGATGAAGGTGAAGATTGGCATGGAGATGTTAAATGCTGCCACTCCTTCTGCGCTGTGCTCACAGTTATCTGGACACACCAAAGCTCACTCCCCATGTGTCCTGTGCTTTGTAATCTTTACTCACTTGCAACCCCCTTTTACCTGGGAAAGTTTTATTTGAGTCTGAATATATAGGTATATAGAGTAGGTGTATAAGGCCATCATTTGTCCATAGTAAAAGCTGAAATTTATGACGGGGATAGGATTTCCTGTGGATACGGGCTGAGAGAGGGAGCTCCAGGCGGGTGGCTGGCCATTTGACCTTCATCTACTCAAACCCTCCAGCAGACATGTCACATGTCCCTTCCAGTGGGCACTGCTAACTGGATACCTTCACAGTCCAGGTGCTGGCACCTCCCCCAGCAGCGGGCAGCACGCTGGCTTCCAACTTGAGGCATTACCTCACTAGTTTATGAAGCTGCTATGCTGTGCTGGCACCATGCCAAAAACAAAAGATGTGAAATTTTTCTTGAGAGTATAGAGCACTTACTGGATAAAGCACATGACCGAGCTCTGAGATAGAAAGAGCGAGAATCCCCAAAGTCTATGGAATTAAGAGATTTCCTGGCAAGCAGACGGCTTGTGGAATTCCTCATAAGCCCAGACATAGTGTTCGAACTGGGTGCAATAGTAGTGACTGACCATGAGAGACAGAGTTGGGGGAATGAACGGTTTGATGGTGAGTTGGTCTCTCTTTGGGGTGTAGAAAGTGATCAAAAGAAACTTGAAACAACAGAAGTCCATTTCCCCACAGCTCCTGAAGCAGAGTCTACAGTCAAGGTGTGCCTGGCAGGCAGAACACTTCAAGGCAAGTTCCTTCTGGGCTTCATCCCAGGTCTGGCAGGTGCTCCATGAGCCTGGTAGTCCTTGTACCATAGCGGCTGTGCCACCTTGAACTCCTTGGCTTCTCCTCTGTATCTGAAGGCACTTGAAACTGGACTTAGGGAACACCAGCTTATGGAGGATGAGCTCTTCCCTTCCAGACCCTTCACTTCACCACATCTGTAAAGAACCCTTTGCCAATCAGGTCACACTCACACCTCTTCTGGGGTGAGTGCACCTGCCACAGGCAGGCTGGAAGAGAGCTGGCAGACGAGAGAGTGGGGAAGGGTTTGACTGGCTTTGCTGAACGTGGCCTTCAACTCCCTCCCATCATTGCTCTGTGTCGGTCCTGAGCAATCACCACACGACCAGCTGGACGGTCCCAAGAGAGCCTCAATCTGGAGTTCGTCTCCACGTCATGTACTAGTTCACCTTCCAGTACTAGATTCTCCATACCCACCAGCTGATTCTGATGCTTTCTGGATGGAAGACACAGCACTGGCCTCCATGGAGTGCACATTGGTGGAAGTTAACATTCAATGTGATCACAGATGAAAGGAGGCCAGGCAAGGTCAGTCATGTCACATGCAGGCAAAATAGTCTTCCCATTTTGGATACATGGATGCAAGTAGCTTAGCCCTAGAATCTGACAACCAGAGAGAAGAAGAACCATCAAGTGTATCCTGGATCCTGGACCCTGAAAATATTCCCTAAATCTTAAGAACTGACCCAGAAGTTTCAGGCACTCATCCACACAAAAACAGCAAGGCCACATAGCTCCTTTCCCTGCTTCCTGCTTCCAAGTAACAGAAGTAGCTAAGGGGTCTCTAGATCAGAGCCCTGATCAAGAGTATTAGTTACTTTTACTTTTCTGTGATAAAACACCTTGTCAGAAAGAATTTATGGAGAAGGGGCTTTACTTTAGCATACATGTCCACAGGGGGAGAGTTCTCAGGGCAGGGAAGACACATCACCACAATAAGAACAGTGGCAGAAGCAGGAAGCTGGTTGATCACATTTTCATCCACACGCAGAATGAAATTTCATCCACACACAGTTCTTACAGAGAGCAAGAACAGGAAGCTTGGATACAACATGGATCTTAAAGGTCTTATTATCAAAAAACCAATGGTAGATTGGGGTGAATGCAGAAAGATCAGAGAAACAGAACAAGCCACAGCCAATCTCACCTCGGCAACCTGATTCTGATTTCCTCAGACTGGAAGCCTGAGTCCTCACCCATAAGGCATCTCAGCTGAACTGTTGCTAAAAAGCTCTAGTTCCTGGTCCTCAGTTTCAAGAGAGCAAGTTCCTGTTTCTTCATGACTTATATAACTTTCTGTGTCATGTCATGTTACTTCCTGGGATTAAAGGTGTGTATCTTTCCCAAGCAAAGACATGAGATCTCAAGTCCTGGGATTAAAGGTGTGTGCCATCACTGTCTGGCTCTGTTTCCAGTGTGGCCTTGAACTCATAGAGATCTGGACAGATCTCTGCCTCCCGAGTGATAGGATTAAAAGCGTGTGCCACCACTGTCTGACCCCTATGTCTAATCTAGTGGCTGTTCTGTTCTCTGACCCCCAGATAAGTTTATTGGGGTGTACAATGTATCAACCACACTTGTAGAGGTTGTAGGGCTCTGAAACCCACCCCAGTGATATCCTTCTTTCAGAAAGTCTCCATCTCCTAAAGCCCTATTACCTCCCACAAACAGTGCCACCAAATGCAGAGCAAGCATTCAAATACATAAGCCTATGAGAGACATTTCTTATTTAAACCACCACATTCCACCTCTGTACCTGATTGACTCATGGCCATCATGATACAAAATGTATTGAGTACAATTTCAAAATGCCCATAGTCCTTTTGAACACTGTTCAAAAGTCCAAAGACTCCGCCTTTAATCCCAGCACTCGGGAGGCAGAGCCAGGCGGATCTCTGTGAGTTCGAGGCCAGCCTGGGCTACCAAGTGAGTCCCAGGAAAGGCGCAAAGCTACGCAGAGAAACCCTGTCTCGAAAAACCAAAAAAAAAAAAAACAAAAAAAACAAAACTCCAAAGACTCTACTGAGACTCAAGGCAATCTCTTAACTTGAACCATCTGTAATATCAAACAGAAAATTGCATACTTCCAACATACAATGACACAGAATACGCATTACCATTCCAAAAGGGAGGAGTTGGGTTGTAATTCAGAAATACTGGACCAAAGTAAGACAAAATCTGTGGGTCAAACACAAATTCCTCTAGCTCTATACTGGTATCTGGGACTTCAGTATTAAAGGATGTACAAGCTCTGCTCCTCCAGTGTTACACTAATCTCTCCCTAGGGCTGGTTCCATTCCCTGTATGCAGCTTGCCTTGGCAGGTATCTCAATGACTCTCACATCTCCAGTATCTTGTGATTTCCAATGCCACAAAGGCCTTAGCCTTCACAGCTTCATGCAGTGACCTTTCAGAGCCTCCTTGCAGGGACTTCAACTCTATTACACATTACCTGGCCTCAGTTGCTCTCCAAAACAAAGGAGCAAGACTTCATAGCCCCCTCAAGCTTCCATGTTCATACTTCCAAAGCAAGTACCATGTGGATGGCACTGCAAAATTATGCTGCCAGCTATGGGTGGACCCTTGCCCTTTTGGACCTTACTACCACCTGCTTGTGTATGCTGAAAAATATGATATTCAGAAGCAAGAGCCGCCCCAGGCTCTCTCCACAAGTGAGAGTCTTCCTTAGGTGGGTTCTGGCATCTTTCTTGTTCTTCCAGTGCAGAGGAGGTAGTTGCTCTTTAATTTCCTTAACAACTACAGCCTCCTCAGCATGGCTTCACTGTGACTCAACACTCTTTTCCTTCCTAAGGTACACATTTTGTATTTTTTTTTCTGCTCTACTTGTTGATCTTTTTCACTGTAGGTCTGGACAAGAGTTATCAGCAATAACTATGCCACAGACAGAATCAAAGTTACAGTGCCATGAGATTCCTCTCACCAAAGTAATTAGCCCAATTCTTTTCAATTTCACCTCATGCAAATTTTCACGACATTGGGTCTAATTCATGCAGACTATTGGCCAATGCGTCACATGACTGACACCTAGCTCAGTCATTAATGTAACATTTCCCCTCGCCCCGGGAACCTCATGAGCCAGGCCACCACTGCCATGTTTTTCTCAGCACTGCTGTCTTCTAAGCTCCTGCTAAAATTCCCCTTAAGTTCTGCTTACAGAGTTCAATGGTTTGTCTAGTTCAACCTTTCAAAATGTTCCATATTCCTCCAAAATACAACACAGTCAGGTTCTTACACCTCATTCCTGATACCAGCTTCCATCTTAGTTACTGGTCTGGTGCTGTGACAAAAATATCATGACCAGAAACAACTAAATAGAGAAAGGATTCATTCTAGTTTGTAGTTCCAGAGGGAGACTCTTCATGACAGGGAAGCATGGTGGTAGGAACAGGAAGCTGGTCAATCACATCTTTGTCCACAAACAGGAAGCAGAGAGAAAGAGCAGGAAGCAGAACAAGGCTGTAAGCCCATTGATTCACCAGAGCTTTCCTGGAAGGGAAACAAGCAGGGTGTTGTGCCGGGCCATGCAGAGCTACAGGCCAGACCTCAGTCAAGGACAGGCTGACACAACAAGTCCTTTCAGGAAAACTCTGGCTGGGTATGGCTAGTCACACCTGG